CATGGACGTCTTTGTAATCGACGCCAGTGTAACATTTTTTTGGATTGACCAAAATGAAACAAATTGTAGGGCTAGAATTAAGTCTACTGCTTTTTGAAATGATACACCCCTGTTTACTAGAGCACATTTCTTGGTCCATATAGGCTGATTCATTATACTATTACTGACTTTTTAAATCAAATTGATAAATTGCTGAAAACTGTTATTAACTTTATTCTGTGCATTATATATTATGTAATGGAGTGTTGTATTAAAATACAGACATTCGGAATATATTCTGCTATCCAAATTAGTATGTTAAATTTGTCCTGCAACAGTGATTACAAATTTGGGGAGAATACTGTTGGACATTTATGTAATAAGCTATGTAGCATAATGACTATATGTCATTACTTTTCATTTCAGATTTCCCTACAAACTTGTAACATGGCTAATGCATCAAGATCTTCATCCACTGCTAAGTGATTAGCATATTGTATAGACTAAGGTAATATATTGACAATTTAGTATTTTAAGCTTAAACCTCAAATATGTACCCCAATTCATAATTAGCAGGCATTCATACAATATTAACATTCAATAATAGTGCTAAAACACAAATTTAACTTAACCTGGTTAGTAACATTATCTTTTCCAAGTTTGCATTTCACAGTGGAGAAACAAGTATGCCATATACCCATGTTTTGCAGCCCACATGCAAATTGTATGATGTCAGAACCAATTACTTAAATAATTGTATTGGATTAAGATATCCACTTAAAATAGGGAAAATAAAATCACAGTTATACTGGTGGGTTCTGATATATTGTTTTTAACAATTGTTGCATTAGTATTTTTCTTTGGTTAAATCTTCAAAATATACAACTCAAAATCTAGCTTTTCAACATTTTCGAACTGGATATTATGTATGTGTGAATGGATTTGTAATGTATCTTGAAGGTTTTATAGTCTATACTATGCCACATGAATTGATGTATTGATTGCATTTTATGGGATATACAATAATTTAAGGTAGCCACTCACGTACATGGCCTACAATTTTAATTCCTTTCTTTCTGACTAGAAAATAACACTCTTTGTTGATAGTTTGTATTTGTATTATTAAATATGGGTTCAAAACTGGTGACATGGAAAAAAAAAACATTGCATGACTGTTAATTTCAAGATTTATTTTTCGTTATTCTTTTTTTTTTTTTTTTACAACACTTTTTTTGATAGTCTAATGTAAAAAACTTGTGACCAAATAATTTAGTGAGGTTCATTTGAACAAGATTTTAAAATATCAAATGAATGCAGTGGCCATTTTCAATCCTGTATAAACATGCCTGTATTGTTTTTAGTCCCCGTTTGGACGCAGTTAGAATATGGGGACTTAAGTTTTGACCTTTGTGCATTCTTTCGTGTGTCCGTCGGGACCTGTATCTTAGACATGCCTGGACCAATCACAATCGAACTTCACACATAAATTATGCATAATTGTATACATACATACAGCAATTTGTTACACAATCTGATTCAATATGGCCGAATGGTGGCCATTTTTATGCTAAAAAAATCATTAAAATCAAGCATTTATGAATGGATATTGTTTAAACTTGGTACACACGTTGGACCTTGATGCACATCATTTTATTTTTCCGATCCAATTTGAAAAGACTGACTGCTGGCCATTTTCTTTTAATAAATGCAGTTCTAGTACCATATTTTCGACTGATTATGTTCAAATTTTATATATTCATTATACATCATGACATAGATATGTTGGTTAGACCTACTGATTCAAAATGACAGCCATTTTTGTGCTAAAAAATCATCAAAAATCAAGCATTTCTGGCATTCCAGAACTGGATCTTGGCGTTTATTGATGGATTTTGTTCAAACTATGTTGGACATTATGGGATCTTGATGCACATCATTTTTAGTCCTTGTTCGGCTGTTCCATCTGTCTGTTCCTCTGTACGTACGCCCGGAGCTATATCTCGGACACCCATTGACGGATTTCATTCAAACTTTACATGAAGACAATACAGAATGTCTTACATATGCTCGTCAAGTTACTTTATGATCGGAGCTACAATTTGTTATTTCTGATACCTAAGCGTGTCCATAGCAGTTTCTCTGAGATGACTGGGCCAGTAATAGCACATTAATAAATAATATTAATACTACAGAAATAGTACATGATAAGTCAGGTTTCATCAAAGTTCAGATATGGAATCTTGATGTAGATATAAATCAGGCTTACAAGTTTCAAGATGTTCGTATTAAAGTAGATAAACAGGGACAATAAATATCTGACAACTACTCCTCAAACCAAACTTGTAGAAACTACTATAAATGATTTACCCAATATTTCCAGTGAAATTCAGGACAAAGTTGTTAAAGGTTTGGTAGTTGGCTTTGACAGCTTCAAGAAAATTCTTGCTTGTTGTAGCTGTAAGCAGTTAATTTAGTACTTAAACTCTGATAAGATCATGTGTGATAAATGCCATAGATGCTTCCGAGCAACTGCTTGTAAGTTTTTGTTGAGACAGATTCTGGTGTTGTCACTGTGTAAATCAATGCTTCTGGTATTGCAACACTGGTAGATATACCTGAAAACAAACTTTTTTCTGGAGCAGAAATAGTTTGCTAACTGTGTTGGATACAAGTGTGTCACAACCTTTGCTCTGCAATTAATCAGAGTGAAAAACAATCCTGATTTAGGCTTCTCGTACAACCATTTTTGGCTGCCTTAACTTACAAATAAGTTTATAACGATCATATCACTTTACACACATCTTATCTTCCCTTCGTTTTCCTATCCTGAGTTGTGTGAGCACCAAAATGAATTGTGCATTACATATTGCTGTTACCTGGGAGGACTTTCATAGAAACTCTATATAATAAACATATGTAATTATTACATATATACTGCAGTTTATTTTGATTCGTCCCAGAAATCAAAATCGGTATTTCCTCACCTCATATGCAAATGAGGTCTGAGAGCAAAGAAAGTAGTCCCTTCAGGAGTAACGTTTTTCGAAACATAGCAGAAATAAACAATACTAAGAAGTACGATATTTTTAACTTGGGGTACATGAATATACTTGCCGAGTGAAATGAAATTTGAACAACAGTAATGGTACCTTTAGCCAGTCACTTATTTTGACAAAAACTAATTTGCATATCACCCATGCAATAATGTTTTCGGTATTTTCACGGTCGATATGCAAATGAACATGGTATTTCCATCGGCTACCGAACTATTTTTATTTTGTAAACACATTTTCGTCTGCTATTTTTGTCCGGTTCAAATCGTCAGGAAACATTTTTGGCGTGTTAGGTGTACATCACATGGAATACTACGATTGGGAGAACTTAATGTATGTTGACCACCTGGAAACTGAGTTTTATAAACCTTGAAGGGCTCTCGGAAGATCCAACCAGCAGTGAAATCAGCAATTACTATGAAGCCGCAACCATCAACATCGAGATACCAAGTTTCTTCTGGCGACGTTGCGGCATTACTCAGTTCCAAATAAAAATTATCAACGCCAAAAGAGCAACATTTTAACCGGTAACCAAGACTCAGTCAATCCACGACCAGCAAGCAACATCACACACGAAGTTGTAGTGTGCAGCTCAGCGACGACCGCTGTCAACGAAAGTCATCCCGTCAGTGAAGTACCACAGTTGCACGGCATGTTTGCCAATGCAGAATTCTGTGGCGGAACTTTTAACTTCAACATAAACTGTGTATCATAGTCGTCCAGTTCAAGTTCTGGTTCTGTCATGGTCCCAACTAAACGTCAACGAGTTATTTATTCGGACAGTGACTTCGCTCGTGAAAGTACGGCCGCAGGATACACCGCATCACTCGTGAAAATAATACGCAATGAAAGCCACGGGCAGGGTGTGGGGTTCTGTCATATTATCTTATTTTTATTGGGATTATTTGCTATGCACATATTTTGTTTGTTGACTTTCTTATGAGCATTCTTTGGTTTTCTTATTTCATAAAGATTAGATGCTGATACACCATCTTGAACATTATGATCTTTAGTATTATTAAGCTTTGGTATTAAAATATACTCATGTAGTACACCTTTTCGCAAATTAAGAGAGAATTATTGGATAAGAGAATTATGTGCTGCCATGCCTTATAGTTGTAATGACAACATCTGTGAGACAGGAAACCTTTCAAGTCCTGGTTGCAGTAAAGTCAATGTAATGCTCCTGTTTAACAACCCCATTTAACACTACCATCGCTCTTGATTAATTAAAGCTGGTTGTACTTCTACACAGTACAACTTTTGATAAACTGAAATCGCTTTTGCAAAAAGCCAATAGGTATTCATCACATTCGTACTTCACTGTTTTCATTTCCATTTCTGCGTTCCTTTAGGGATTATGCTTCAACGGGTTGATATCATTGGAGATATTGCACAATTCCGGCTATTGAGACCAGCCAGAGCAGAGCCCATGACAAAAGAAGATCGCCATTTTATGCATCTTGAATTTTCTAATAAAGGAATTGATGCTATCAATATCAGCAACGTTCTTCACCAGAAGAGAGTTACATCAACTATCCATATTTTGAAAATCAGTCTATTCTAATTATTTCCTACAGATACACTAAAACCATATCATCTAGAATATTCAACTATCGTAAGGCACTGCAGTCCTTTAATGTTACTGACTTCATTCAGAATCATTTAGATTGTGATTGCTCTCTTTCTAAATTCAAATATGGTCCTGCTGATCATGTTGTGACAGGCGATCTAGACACTATTGAACATGAAAACCTGTGCAAGGTAGTTTCATATGGACCCAAGTTTTAGAATCATCATGGACTCCTTTTTATAGAATATGCCAGGAAGTGGACAAAAAGAGAGAAAGTCAATTAGATCTTTGATACTGAAACGCATTCACAAATTAAAATCTTGTGTGAATAGAAAACCTAGGTCAATATTTAAAGATCCTAATGCGTTGGAATGTTTGTCTTCTTTTCATGACAGGTATGTTGTTGTTCCTGCAGATAAAGCTTCCAACAACATTGGTTTTATCTGTAAGTCGTATTACTACACAAGGCTTATTCAGGAACTAGGGTTAATACATACATCTGGTAATCATACTTATAGACAAACCACTTTTACTAAGGAAAAAAATCCAGGCGAATCACAAGTCATTCATGGTTTCTCTTAAAATACCAGCCAGAGTTGAGAATGATGACTTGCCCCGCTTGTATTGGATAGCAAAACTACACAAAACACCATACAAGGAAAGATTCATTGCCGGTTCTTCTAATTGTTCAACTAAAGAATAGTCTAAAACATTAACTACAATATTGTCTGCCTTGAGGTCCATGTTATCTCCCTCGCCGATTTGGCAGTGTGTTGTTTGTGTGTCCCCCTACGTAACTTAAGTATCTATATAAAAACAAACTTTTTTCTATGTGTGTTCATGAGGTGAAGCAAAAACTGTTGAAAGACAGCATTAGATACTAGTTTGTCACAACTATTAATTCACTTAGTGATTTAATATCTTGACATACTGTCTTACACCCCTTTGTGTTTTTATTCTGAGTTTGTATGAGCACCCAAATGAAGTGTACATTATGCATTGCCGTTATTATTTGCTATGATTGGCTTTAGTATGAGCCCTGTTTTTGTTTTGTTTTATTAGAGGTCATGTTAGATAGCATGATAATTATACTGTTAAGTTTTGGTATTTTAAAATATACTCATGCAGTTGCTTGCTACAATTAGATTTATTTAAATTCTTCAAGAAATAATTACAATTATATCATTTCTAATTTGTTGCTGTCTCGTTTGTTTCTCTACAACACTGCTATCACACATTGAATATACAGTAAACATAATTAACATATTAACCATGGACCTGTATGTCTTGCTCAGTCTTATCCAATAATATACAAACTAATGGACCTGCCATTGACAAGACAACTAGCACGCTGTTGTCTCATGGGAACTAGCCAGCATATCAGCAAGTTGATTATAATCACCTTCCATAGGACTTGTTGTAATTGTGTTTTTTAGATACAACATCCGAATAGCCAATATGCCAAAGAGAAGTAAGCGATCACAACAAATGGATGGATAATGTTAGCAAATTGGACAAGCTCAATCTTACATTAAATCTGAATAGTGTCTACTTTGATGCTAGCAACATTAATAAGAAAGTTGATTTTGATTCCCCTAGTAAATTCAATATGAAAATCCAAGAAGATTGTGAACGAACCTGTACAAAATGTGCCCAAAAACTTCAGTTTCTACCAATCCAATCACTGATGTGATTGGAACTGAATGCCAGATTGTCATCAGATTCGCATCCAGTGGATTTCAGGTTTTATCCTCCTACTAAAGCACAACAAAGAAACATGTGTGAAGTCTTGGGTAATACAATAGCTTCAAATACGAATTACCATGTGTATCATAATTCGCACTATCAGGGTTTTGGACCGAGATTGACATCCAATTTCCACACATACTCAATCCGAGCTGATGGTAACTGTTTTCTTCGTGCAATCAGTTTTTCACTAACTGGAGATGAAAATCGCTTTCATATACTTGATAAGATCAATTCCAATTCCAGAAATGAGAAAGAGATTTTGAATGTTGATACACAACCGGGTAACTTTCTTGGTGAAACTGATGATAGTGATAATGATGATGAAAATGAATCTGAGAAAATTATGATGTGAATCATGGAACCGATGAGGAATATTATGATTTGCCCCAATATTTGACTGAATGTACATCTGTTAGCATTATTGACCCACTAACCAAAACTGACAATGAAAACAGTATCACAGAGAAAATCGCAGCAGCCATTGTTCAAAAGGAAAGGTCTTTGAATGCAAAAATGGCAAAGTCTGAGCAAATGTCTTTCATAGCTGTTGCACCAACTGTGTCAAGTGAATTCAGAAGTTGGTCGGAATGTGAAGATTTGGAAGATCGTTGTTTTCCACATCTTTTCCCCCATGGCACTGAGGGATTATCTGTCAACTTACCAGAAGAAAGGGTGTGAGTTTTTCAAATTACATAAAGCAAAGAATGCTTAGCCTGGACATTCGGTATTGCAAAGTCACCACATACATGTTTTTCATGTACAATGTAAAAGAACAACTGGAGATAAAACGCAGTTATGTTACCTTCTTTAGAAAGTCAAAAGTGGACAGAAGCCGCTACACTGCCAAGTTTTTTTAAATCTGCAGACAAACATGAGATAGAGCGAACTGATTTAGGCTATCGGGTGTTTTCCAACGTCCATACTTTCAAGCTGCTAAACAGAAAATCAACAGCATGATTAGAACGTTGTGATCCCCAAAACTCTTCCTTGAGTGCAGCCGAGAGTCATTGGGTTAAACCTCTCAAAATGTTCATTCAGAAAGAATGGAATACTGTTATTTCTGATGATGTTTTTGAACACATGTTAACTTCTGAAATCAATAAGCTAATCATAGGTAACATTGTAGATGTGACGATGCATTACAGCAACCGTGTCAAAGTCATCTTCAAACACTTGCAGAAACCTGGCATATTGGACCAGTATCATGTTGTGGACTATTGAATTGAATTCCAACAGCGTGGTGCCCCACATGTACGCTCACTTTTGTGGCTGAAAGATGCAACTAGCAACAGCCCTCCTCGGTATGACAAAACTGATGAGACATGCACTGCTTGGGAAGATTTCATAGAGCACATCATTTGTGTACAACTTCCAGATGATGGCAGTGATCTGAAACATGACGTAAGATTTTTCCAAACACATAGACATAATTTCACTTTACGGAACAAATGCAAAACGATCATCATACAATCCAAAGAAGGTCATGGATGGTGTGAAAGAAGGCCCGAGTTAAAAATTAATACTTGTCGTTTTAAATTTCCCAATTTCCCGGTGCTAAAAACCTAAGTTCAGATGCACCAGATGATGCCACAAGTGAAGAAGAATTGAAAACGTGGAAGAACTACTACATGTCTGTCGGAAATACATAC